CAATTTTCCTCAGAAAAAAAAAAAGATTCTTTTACTAACTGTATTGTAGGTTTCTTGAGTCAGAGACCATGTTTTGTCTCTCAGCCCCTAGAAGAGTATTTCCACTAATCACTGAATAAAGACTTATTTGTGAAGATGGCAAGGATGTGATACTGAAAGTGTGGTATTTGTCTCACATCCACCTGGGGTGCTTCTGATAAATGCAGCTACCTAGGCCCACCTCTTCATCCCTGAAGCAAGATCTTTGGAAGTGTAACCTATGTAACTGCATTATTAAAATGTACTCCAAGTCAACTTTACACACAGTGAAGTTTTAGAACCACTGGCATAGAACTGCAGGTTCTCTACACTCTTCCAGGATTGTTTTTATGGCCTGCCTTACCTCTTTCAGTCTGTTTAAGCAGGTTCTTGTCTTCAGTGGGTTGCTACAGACCCAGAGGGCTTCGTGCCCAGAATGTTTTGTGAGGCCCCCATTGATTGAAAGCTATGTCTGCATTTCATAAAAAGTAGCCCTGCCTGTGACTGTTAGTGAGTCCCTGGCTCCCTGAGTTTCCCCAAATCTCCTGTGTTAGACAAGCACCGGCATCTGCCCTCTCTCCAGCTTCCTTGCTTGCAGTGTTTTGAGAGAGTTATTATTGACTAAAGCTCCCAGCTGCCTGGAATAAGAGTGGAAACAGCATGAGGATGTAGTTAGTACTTCTTGGGTAAAACAAAATGTCTTAGACCTACTGATTTGTAATGAGTGCCCATGAGAGTGCCAGGTGCTTACGGATGATCTCATTTACTAACCCCAGGATCTATCACGTAGCTATTCCCGCGTTACAGATGAGGAAGCCTAGGCTCACAGAGGTTAAGCAACTTTCGTCTAAATAAATAAGCAGATTGTGAACTCCTTGACACAGATTATTGGTTTTACTCATTTTTGGATGCTCAATAACGAGCACAGTGTCTGGATGTTGGATAATTCATTTAAATGACTAGCTGGATGGAGAGAGAAATTTTGGTTATCCAGATAGCAAATATCAGAACTCTGTATGAGTCCAAAGCCAGTTCTCCCCCGCCCAGTGCCTGTGCTCCTCTGAGAGGGGTGCAGGGCTTATTTCTGACTTAGGTGGCAATGCAGTGAGTCGTGCATACAAGTACAAAAATGCCTCATACTCACAAAGGTGCATATCAGCACCTTCTGTTCTGTCAGCAACTTTATGAATCTAGGAGAGAAATCCGCTTATTTTCTCTGCACAGCATCTTAGATGTGCACATAAAGCCGGACTTATTTAATGGTATACCCACTATTTGCACATCTTCTTGAGCCTGCTAAAATACCACAAGCCCCTCACATGCTGTTTGCTTATGCTAAGACCTCAGCCATCACATATGCTACTTTAGTATGCTGTGCGGCAGGAAGATCCAAGTTTGTCCAGAATATAACAAAGTAGAGTTTGTTTTTAGCACAAACTGAAGTTTGTTTCCTTCAAGAATGTGAACTTAGCAGTTATGGAATCACACTCATGCAGATTCATTCCCATTAAACTATCACATTTTCTGTTTATGTTGATTTCTAATTAATTCTCTCCTAAAAAAAAAAAGGGGGGGGGATGGCTCTCTCAGCCAGACCAGAGCACATAATGATTCCCACTGTTGGATGAACACTGTTGGATCTGTCTCATGAAAAAAGCTGTCATTACCACCCACTAACTCATCAACAGGTCCTGGCTCTCTACAGAATCTGGGTCTCCATTACCCCTGTCCACGCCCTCTTGTCCTCTATTCACCTCCACTTGGGAACATGGCCACTTGGAGAAGGGGAAGCTTTCCCTCCCTTAGCAACAGCTGGAGATGCTGATGCAGTCCCTTATATTTTACACCCGTAGCAGAGTGCACCAACCTTATGATAGATTTTCTACTAGTGGTTAGGAAAAAAAACAACTATTTTTGGTTCTGCAAATACTTTTGGTTGTAGTTTCAGTAGCAGAATCAACTACAGCTGTCTGGTAGGTCGCAATATGGTTTTCACGACTTTTGAAGAATCAACTTTAGAATTAGCCCATAGATTATTAATTCATTTGATGGACAAAAGAACATAATATTGACATTCTAAAAGGAAGTTCTACTAAAAGTGAAACTAACATGTTGTCGCTCTAAATTATTTAGACTGTGTCAATGAGCATCACTAAAGGCGAGAATTCAGAAAAATACAAAAAAGATTATATGTAAGATTGCAAAATGTTTTACTTTTTATTTTCTTTATTTGTTCTTACGATCTCATATATTTCATAACTTTCCTGTTTCTCTTCACCACCATCACCGCCACCCACCCCCAAACACAAACACTCTAGTAAAAGAAATTGAACATTTAAAACCCCAAAGCAAACTAAAATTACTGCTAGAGAGAGATAGGAGGAACAAAGGAGAAAGAAAATGTTCCCAAGAGCAAAGAACATGTAGATCGAGGCACAGTCTCTTCAAAGACTGGAACCTGAATGTAAATTCCTAAGTTGTGGCTGGTTAGAACTTCTCCTCTAATATAACAATTGATAAGAGAACATGTTTTCATGGAATACAAGATGCCGGCTTGTTCCATAACCCATAAAATTAACAAAAATTAAAGTGAATAACTATAGCAGGCAAAATGTGTTCTTTCCTTTCCTTCTGATATTTGCTTAGCAACACAGAGTCTAGATGCACTTCACATGTAGTCCTGGCTATTTGCTTTGGTCCACAAGGGTCCATAGGATCTGGCTCGAAGCTCATCCCTACCGCTCACAGCACTGCAGCCTCACTGGTTCCCTTTGTGCTGCTCCTCATGCCTCATTCTTTCCACAGTTGTAAAAGTTTTGCACTTGCTGATGCTCCACTTGGAATCAGGTTTTCATGGTTGCCTCGTCATTCTCCATGTCTCAGCTAAAGGGCAGCCTTCTCAAGGGGCCCTTGCTGACCACCATATTTCAAGGAGCTCCCCAGAGTTATTCTCTGCCTTACCCACGTGCTTATTCCTTCACAACACTCATCACAATCTTTAATCACTTAATTATTTGTTTACTTGTTTATTAACTGATGAACATCATGAGGTCAGGGACCAGATTATCTTGTTCACGCCTCCATTTTCTGCATCGTGTTGCGTTGGGTATATAGTGAGTTATCAGAAATTTTTGTTGAAAACGTTAATTACAGTCTCCACAATGTACATACGATGCAGCCCACTTTTTCTGGCTTTCATTTCTAGTCCTGATACTGCAGCCTGTGGATAGACAAAGAACCGCCACCAGCCACCAACTTGGCGTCTAGCGACCAAATATTCATCATATCTTAGATTTCAGGAATTCTATATCTGCCATCATTTGCTAGCCATTTTCTTAATATTTTGAGCTGGCTTGATTTTAGTGGAAAGTCTAGCTAATTGCTACTTAATGTTAGGTCTGTTTTATTGCTGTGGTTTTATTTAAAGTATTTATAGAATATAAATATTAGACTCCCTTCGGAAATTATTATTCAGTAAGAGAAAGAGAAAGCATTTCCAAGTTCTCCAAGAAATAGTTTCCATTAAAAACAGTATGTTTCCCCACATAATAACGGTGGAGCTCTAACTGGACTGTGTTCAGCAGCTGGTGAAGACATTCCTCTCTGAGACTGTTAGGAATTTTACGAACCTATTGGTGTGGGCACAAACTTTGAGAATATTCAATGTTGATTCACTGGGACAAAAGATGTGGCAGATTCTCTTATCCTAAGGGTTTCAAGTCAATTAACGTCTGTGCTTTGACTTTGATAAAAGACCAAATAGAACCTGTGTGTCGTGTGTCTAATTATGTATATATATATACATATAGGTACATGTACATACACATACACAAGTGTACATTAGTATATTTAAATAACATAGGTGAATTTTAATTCATTTAATGATTAAAACTATCAGATGACACAGTATTTCAAAAATAGCAAAATCTATAATAAGTTTGTATATATAAACATGTGGCTCTTTGAACAAATTATTAGTCAAAAATAATAATGCAGGGCTGTGATAGACCCCTATTCATTCAGAGATCATCATTTGAGAATATAAAGGAGTACCGTATATCAAGAAGTAATTATATTCACTCAAAGAGCGTTTGATATTTTGCTGTCTATACGTGACACTCTCAGACTGCCCAAATGGTTGTGGAGACCCAGTCGTTAGAAGCTTTAACTTAGGAACGAATAAGAAACGTTGACTCTCAATATGTTCTGGGGTTGATTCAATAGAATTTGAAAGAGACTGCCAAGTAATTCAAATTTTTAACATTAGATTTCTCTTAAAGCAAATATTGCCAAACATTCCAGAGGAACCATGAAACATCTCTTTCTGTGACCATAACATTACATTAAACTTAAAAATTATTCTATAACAGCCAAATCCCAAGACATGATAGAAATGTTCTGTCCTAACTTAGACAAGAAAAAACTCTACATTTTCTCTAAGTGAATGTGTAACTCAAGTAAATGGCACCTAGAAAAGCCTTCATTATTTTATTTTGAATGATTTATTTTATAATTAAGCATTCTCAAAGTGTATGTGATTTGAAACTTGATTTCTTTACTGTATGTTCATAGGCACAGCCCACTTAAAATCAATTATTATGGATACTTTCTGTTAAATATTGTTTTGCTTTGACATCTTTATTATTTTTTTTTCTTAAAGATTGGCACCTGAGCTAACAACTGTTGCCAATCTTCTATTTTTTTCCTGCTTTTTTCTCCCCAAATCCCCCCAGTACCTAGTTGTATATTTTAGTTGTGGGTCCTTCTAGTTGTGGCATGTGGGACGCCACCTCAACGTGGCCTACTGAGCGGTGCCATGTCCACACCCAGGATCCAAACCCTGGGCCACCGAAGCGGAGCATGCAAACTTAACCACTCGGCCATGGGGCTTGCCCCTATTATTTTTTAAAAACACAAATAAATAACTTATCTTTTATATTTAGTGCCTTCATCCATTCACTAATCAAAAACTCTTTATTTAGAACCTATTTGATAAGCAGCTGCCCTGTGTAGAAGCTGGGAATTATCAAGAAAATTATGAAGAATTATGAAGACCCACCAGAGTCCTGCCTTCAAGAAGCTTCCAGTCAGTGTGAATGTCCTCATAAAAGGAGAGGACATGGAGGAAAGAGCAGACGTAAAAACAATTTAGATCATAGAATCCCATTAATCTCTTCTCCCTACCTTTTTTTCTTAAGGCCACTACATAGAGAAGAGCAGACAGTGAATGTTGTGAAAACAATAAAGCTTTAGAGAGAGAATCTGTATGGTTGTTTTTCCCTTCGTTTTTTTTTCCTGGTGAGGAAGATTGGCCCTGAGCTAACATCTGTTGCCAATCTTCCTCCTTTTTTTTTTCCTCCCCAAAGCCCCAGTACATAGTTGTATATCCTAGTTGTAGGTCATTCTGTCTTCCATGTGGGACACCACCACAGCATGGCTTGAGGAGTGGTGAGTAGATCAGTGCCCAGGATCTGAACCGGTGAAACCCTGAGCCACCAAAGTGCAGAGTACAAACTTAACCACTCGGACACAGGGCCAGCCCCAGAATCTGTATGTTTTTTGGTTAAAAATGACTTTTATCAAATTTGTTAATTTATTAATTTTGATTATCTTGAGCTATAAAATCAATGTTTCTTTCATGTATTTAGCACTTTCTTTGAACTTAGTGAAACCTGTTTTCTAAACCTAAAGTCTATTAAATTTTGTACTTCTGGAAATTCTCTAGCCACAAATCCATGACCATCAGAGGTAATTGGCAGCATGCAATAATGGATTTCTTCCACATGGCAATTTACAATAGACGTTAGTACATTTGCAGTTGGGCTTTAGAAGGGGATTAAAGTAAGGCAAAACCTTGAAGCTTGCTCTTAAATTGTTACAGAAACAGAACCTAGATTCCAATGCTGCAATCTGTTTGGTATATCATAAAATTTGAAAATAACGAGCCAAAGATTGTGTATTTACTACATACTCTACTACCATTTAAAACTCTATATTCTGGATGTTTTCTCAAAAAAGTTGAATTAAGTCTCATGACAATAGCCCATAAGAACTGTTGCATCAGTTACACATCATGAGATTACCAAATAGGGAAAGAGTAGGAAGCTTTCTTTAACAGCTAGAGAAATTGAAGTCAGTTGCTCAAGAGAGTGTCAATGGTTCAGACACTGAAAACTGGCTTAAGTTATGCATAATGTATATTCTTTTGATACTTAACCTTCACATACAAGTTGAGAAAAGATACTTTCTTCTTTCCCAACTTTAGGGAAAGATGCTAATTTTACCATGTATTTGACACGTCTGTAACCAGAAGTTCACAATTTAAAGTTCCCATGAATGCTGCCCATTTTTCCACTAATATTTACCCACATTACACATCTAAAATTTGTTGTTGTTATTAGTACCATCCAGTCGATTCCAACTCCCAGCGCTGCTGTGGACAGAGCGGAACCCTGCGTGGTCTTTCAGTGCCATCGTCTCACCTTCCAGCGCTCTATCACAGTGCTCCACTGCTATCACTTAGATATAAAGAGATTGGTACCAGAGAGCAAAGATCTATGTTCTAATCTTCAGTCTAAACTCATTATTTGTCCAGTAGTTTACATCATCTCTTTGAGTCCTAGTTTGGGGTTTCAAAAAAAGTAATGGTGATAGCTTTTACCTTTACTTACAGCAATTACTACAATTCATTTAGCTATCTATGAGATGCATGCTTTGAAAGCAAAAGTAGTATAGAAATGCAAATTATTATTACGATTAGCTGATAACGTATCTTTTTCTCCTACCAAATGTCCTTTATTTTGGACTACTTTTCCTTCTTCCAGCATTCTTCAGTGCCTCCCCATTTCAAGATGTCTTCTCTAATTAAGTAGTTACCACCAGACCCTCACATGTACATCGCTAGCAACCATCACAATATTAAGTTCCATCTATTAAGTATCATTTTCTGGATGTTTCATAAAACCCGCAAAATCAATGATCCCAAACCATGCTTATATTTGTAGATGTTTTTATTCTGTGTACCTTGCCCCAGTCCTCCAGCTGCAGGCTTTTACTTCTCCAGCCATCCTTATCTCTTTTCACTGACTGGAACTTGAAACATGCCTTTGTGAATCTCTCTCTTATTTAATTCACATTCTGCTGGTCACCATATTTGATTGAGTCCACCTCCTAAATATCCTTGGACTATGCATCTCTTCTTCTCCACCTTACACTGCCTCTGCTATATTTTAAGCTATCGTCAGTCTATTACCTTGGCCACTACATTAGTCTTCTCCAAGTTTCTGTGCCTGCCGTGCTACCAGAAAAATTACCTTTCTAATACAAATGTGATCATATCACCCACCAGATTGAAATCCCACATATCTACAGAATAATTTCCTTTGCACAGCCCACAAAAGTTCCTTAATCTAGGCCTACCCATGCTTCCAATCTTCTTCATATTCTTCACACCTCCATTAACCACTACTTATGCATCAGTTCCATCAAACTCATACCAGTTTCCTTGATGTGGGTAATTGTGGTGTTCCCTCCTGTAGCCCCTTAATGGCCTCTTACATACTGATAACTGCAACTCATTTTCTAAGATTTAAATTCAAACATTAGATACTCTATGAAATCTCCTACCACCAAAACCTTCATTGCTCATATAAAATAATAGTACAAAAGCATTGTTTGAAAAAGAGTCATTCAGAAATATAATGCAAAGTTATTATTAGAATGGAAATAAGAAGAAACATGACAACGTACAATTCTATTTTCTGTCTTACAATCGTAAGACTTTAAGGCTGAAAGAGTTGTTACAGTCAATCCAGACCAAAGTGTTCTGTGGTTTCCATATAAAAAGTAAAACTTCTGGCCTCAAGATGAAGTTTGGGAAATTTGTATCTAGTTGTGTAATACTGACTGTATAATCTGAGTGATCCTTACACAGCATTCAAGAAAGCCATCACTATGCTACCCAACTGTGAAAAGAAAATTTGGAATCATAGAATCTGAGCTTGATGGTCTCAATGTTCCTCACTAACCACAGGGTGCTACTTAAATCTTCGTGAAGAAATGAAATTTGCCATCATTTGTACCTGCCCATATTCAAAATTCCCTGATTAAAAACAAACAGGAATTTTCTTTGCCAGTTAAAACGATTATATTTTCTTTACTTTTTCAAAAATCTACTTTGTCAAAAACTTTTGTCTAAAAAGGAAAAATATGGGGGAAACAAAGCAAGCAAAAAGAATGATTGTAGCACAATGTGTGAGAAGACAAAAGTTTTAACAAAGGAGTTGAGCAAGGCACTTCTGGCATAGCTCATAATTTCAGTGGAAACTGTTACCAATCGTCAGACACATATAGAACTCTCTCCTGGAGAAGTTTCCAAACATCCAAAACCCAATTTTTTAAATAAAATTTATTTTAAGGTGAATCAGTTTTGGAGGCTCTGAACATGTAAATCATATTTACTTTTATAATTGATCTATTTAAATTATATCATAATTGACAAAAGTTTTAAAGTGCATAAAATTACAATTGTGCTTCCTTGGAGCAGCTGCATTTCAGAGATGGAGATAGATTGGTGTGGACCAATTCAATCCATCTTCAATTAAACTCAGAGTCACTTGCTGCCCCGAGCTTGGAGTGATTTTCTTGCAAAGTGAGGTCCTCTTTTCATAGACAGTTGTTTTGAAAAGGTTTTACAGGTTTTTACCTACACCTCTTGCTTCTTGAAATGGGCCCATTAGATTCTGAACACATGGAGCTCTCTTTACTCCTTTACTTTTTAGGGTCCCCCCCCTTTTAAATGTGTACACATTTTCTGTAAGTCTCCGATGCTGAGTTACTGGCATGAAAAATGACCCCGTTACTTGGAAAGCAGTTTTCACTTACAAGTCCCCCAGGTCCTATAATGTGTAAACCTCCTGTGCCACTTTATATGTCTGCCCCACCCCACAGAGGAGCATGTACAGGAAAAGCAGACTCCCTTCCCCCACACATTTCCTCAGTTTATTTACAAAACGTCTTGGAATGAGAATGAGCTGCTTGTGGTTCCTGTGGCTGATTCAGGGATGGTTTCCTCTAGACAGAGGATGCTGGTCAACCGTATGACCTCTCTGTAGCTAGCCCGTGCACTGCTGGGGTGAGGCTGACTGGGCTTATGGATACCCCCTCTAACTCAGCCCAATGGGGTTTGTTTTTGTGGTAGAAAACTTAGCAATAACCAAACATCACTGTTAAGACAGACTTAATAATGGTAAGATCCATCGGAGCCTAACCCTCCCACCATCAACAAAAGAAGTCAGAAATACACTGGGATGTCTTTGCACTCCTGTGCATCAAACTTTGCTTCTGATAAGGGTCAGGACTTTTCCCTTCTGGATTCCTGAAAGGTCAACAAAACTGTTAATATTGTATTTGAATAGAGAATACATTAGCAGGAGAAATCATCCCAAGCACCAGCTACGTGAGGGATGCTCCTTAGTCAGCAGTTTTCCATCAGCTCACACATAGGTGTCGACGACCAGTTAATATTTGTAAAAAGGTTCAGAGTTCTGAAGATCTCAAGTAAACGCGAATCTTCCAAATGTTTGTTTCTATTTGTTCAGACTTGCTGATGAACACTCTCACCCCACACATTGGTGACTCTTGGAAAGCTTGGAATTCTCAGGAATATGTGTAGCGGTACTTCTTAGTGTGGACTGGTCATGTCCTGACCAAATATATATTTCACTTGAGTAAGTGGAATGTGAGGGCACAAAAACTGTAAGACTTCTCTCCCGAAAGATAAACTGTTGAACATAAATTATTGTAAATACTCACATATGAGCCATGTGGAAATACTGGTAAGATAATTATCACATTTTCACCATCATATCGATTTGAAATGATAAATATTAAACTTATGTGAGAAGAAATATTTCAGGAAAGCATTGGGGGGGTGGGATGCTGAATAGCTATATAGTTTCAGAATCAGTTTGCATCGGATCAAAGAGTAAAATTGTGCTAAGACCATAGTTGAAAAAAGATATCCTAGAATGTAGTGTCCTTGAGTAAGTCCTTGAGTAAGGACTCAAGCCCTAGCCTGTGTTGTCATCCCTTCTTGAAAAAATTAGAGACGTACGCTTTCAGCCACCAATAAATGAAAAGCAAAACTAATGTGTATTGATTTCAATGAATGAGCGCAAAATTACCCAGCCTCCAATCTGCCAGAATGCTAGTTCAATGAAGATATTTTCACTATATTTATGATCTATAAATAGTTTGAGGCAATATATTCTTATTTTTCAAATGCTCAAATTTTAAGAACTTTGAAATTAAAAACAATATATGTATGTATTACAGGGAAATACCAGATTGCAGAAAAAAAGAGGGAAAAAAAATCCCAACTCATTTATCCATTACCACCCAATTGAAAGCTAAGTAAGAAAATGTATATTCTGCCCAGAGAATGTCATAGAACTCCTCTATTTGTGATTTAACCTTTGTTTTGTCTTTCTCTATTTGTCCCCCCAGTGCATCCTAACGTCAGTCAAGGCTGCCAAGGAGGCTGTGCAACGTGTTCAGATTACAATGGATGTTTGTCATGTAAGCCCAGACTATTTTTTGTTCTGGAAAGAATTGGCATGAAGCAGATTGGAGTGTGTCTCTCTTCATGTCCAAGTGGCTATTATGGAACTCGATATCCAGATATAAATAAGTGTACAAGTAAGTGCTCATACAAAATTATGTTTTTATCTCATCCTTGGGGACTTGCCAGATTTGAAATGGCCTCTAGCATATTTGTGATATTCAATGTCAAGTAAATAATAATATTTACCTGATGATTAGGCTAAACCATACTTGGACTTAGCCCTCAGAACAGGAAAATTTTCACACTTAAAAAAACGCTCAAGTTTTATGGTTTTTTTTTTTTTCATTATAAAAGTGAAAACTGAGAACACATTTATAACTCATTGAACCTATAGAAAAGTACTGGAAGCATCAATACCATCGGGGTTCCCTTGACCATCCCAAAATCTAAGTGTTTATAACTCAAAGAATCAATTCAGGTATTTTGGCTTCAAGAAGGATTTCAGTATAGCAATTGAAACATTTGTTTATCAGCTGGAAATAAATGTTGCAAACACTCTCGTTATCACCTCTCCTCTGTACCCTGAAGGTCTACTCTCTATACTGCGGACTGAGTAACCTTTCAAAATGTGCATTAGGAAATACCGCTCCTCTATCATACGCCATATCACTCATCTGTGACTGCCGCCCAAGCACGTTGCACTAAGCTCCCTGGCCTTCTTACAAGATCTTCCCACCTCAAGGCCTTTGTGGTTCCGTCCTGCACTCACTGTTCTGGCAGGTTGGAAAGCTCTTTGCCCACACCTTTGCTTGGCTGGCCCTCTCCTTTTATTCCAGATTCTGCTCATATGTCATCTTCTCAGAGAGGTATTCTATGACCATCTTACCCAAAACAATCAACCTCTTCCCCTTATCAGTCCTTTTCCATATCTTTTTCCCTATCTTTTGTTGTTATTTTTTCCAGAGTACTTATCACTCTGTAACCATATGGCCTGGTTTCAAAAACCAGTCTGCTCTGTGGTCCTGGGCTAGGTACATAACGTTTCCGAGCCTCAGTTTCCTTATCTATAAAATAGGAATCATCATCAGAGCTACCTCACTGGGTTGTTGTAAGGTTTAAATGGCTTAATATTGTAGAATACTCGTAGCAGTGTCTAACTCATAGTAATCACCATATAAGGATCAACTATTGTTATTCTTTATTGTGTCTCCCCTCCTAGAATGTAAGCTTTGTGAAATCTGGACTTTATCTCTCTTTTGTTCACTGCTGTCAACCAATACCTAGAATCATCCTTAGCACATAGCGGGCAATCAAATATTTGTTGGATGAATGAATGAATAGACTTCAGGAACAGCACAAAGGCAACATCCCAGCATATTTCATTAAAGTTCTGATGGAATCATTTTCACTATCATTTAATGTCAAACAGATACTTGGTCTTATAAACATTCTTGGCAGTAGACATGTTGCCAAAAACTTTTTCAAAAGGTAATCAGTACAATAATTTGGAAATCAGTGACTGACGTACGTCAACTAAATGACTGTGGAGGAATCCTTAATTCAGTCTGGCAAAATAGTTTTGAATCCTAAGTATCTGTTTGACACCAAAGTCTCCCGTGCCTGTGGGGTAGGCATCCAGACCTGGACTGACCATAGTTAAGTGAAGATAATGAAAGCGTATTTCTCTTTTCTTTTTTTTCTTTCAGAATGCAAAGCTGACTGTGATACCTGTTTCAACAAAAATTTCTGCACAAAGTGTAAAAGTGGGTTCTACTTACACCTTGGAAAGTGCCTTGACAGCTGCCCAGAAGGGTTGGAAGCCAACAACCATACTATGGAGTGCGTCAGTATCGGTGAGAAGGAATCTAAGATTTAGAAAGAATGAGAAATGCCTCAGATGGTGATGTCGGTCTCCATGGACGTGCTGCTCAAAGTCCCATTGCACAAGAACCTGCGGGCCTGTCTCTTACAGGCTCTATCCATCCTTCTTTACAGAGACACCATCTTAGTGGTGTTCCCATAGCTTTACCCAGTATGTGTCACAGTGCAATTTAACACCTGTGGCTGCTCCATTATTTCTTATTCTCCATTCTGTCAATAGCTGTTTCAACTGTTCTGATCATTATAGATATTTTTCGTGTGATTATTTACTGAAATTTCACTTATAATAATTATATATATACTTACATATATATAATATATAGATTACATATTTATTTAAACTTGATTTTTTTTTTCACTTGAGGAAGATTGGCCTTGAGCTAGCACCTGTGCCAATCTTCCTCTATTGTATTTTTGTTTGTGGGTTGCCACCACAGTATGGTTTTGATGAGTGATGTAGGTCCACGACCAGGATCCAAACCTGCAAATCCTGGGCCCCCAAAACAGAGCACACCATACTTAACCACTACACCACAGGCTGGCCTCTAAATTTGGTCTTGAACTAAATTTCCACCTTAGGGCAAGAGTTTCACAAAACACTAGGTCTGATGTCAACCACTGACCAAAATTATTTTCCAAAAGGAGAAAACATAGTCTCTGGATGCAGCCCATTAATACTCAGTAGATGGATCAACGACTCAGAGAACTGGAACCGAAGAAGTTAAAAATCACACTTTTTCTCTCACCCTGCTTTGCTGAAATGTCCTGCTTGCACAGGTATTCAGAAACAAGGAGAGGATTTTGGACTTACTCAAACTGACAGACGGACACAGTCCCAGGGTCTGACTAATTGCAGGCTGAATTTCCTGGAGGGGAGGTCCCTCAGACAAGTTGTTTGTCTAAATAACGGATCACTGTCAGGGTATATTTTCCCTCTTTTAAATGTGGTGCAGCTACTACAGCTACAAGTTTGATGAACAGTTGGGGAGCAGATGCTAAACCAAATGGGAAAACAGCATACTAAATCTCAAAGTCCCCTGGGCAAGAGCTACAAGAAGCTTTGATGCTGCACCAATGTTGGCACATGCACACAAATGTTCTCCCGATTCAGTACAAGATAGTGTCCAGGACTCCCCTGGGGGCCCCACAGACAGATCCATTCAAATCTAAAGTGCTGGAGTAATAACTCTAAAGTGGTGATTTAACCATTTCAGATCCACACGGAAAATTTACTTCTAAGCAAAGTTTTGGAGAGGATGAAATAAATAGATGATATTTTAAAGATCATTTCAGAAGCATCTGGAAAACAACAATCCTGAAACAGTTCATGGCTCCTTTTGGTCCAGTCTTTTTTTTTTCCCCCTCTAGTCAATAAAGACACAGAAAAACAACTTAGTAATAGGGTAAAAAGATACATGAGAAAGCACTGCATGTTCACCTCTTTGTAGGTCCTGAGGGCTGATGATTAGAGGTAATAAGTTCCAAACAGTGGAAAAAATAGGAACCAATTCTGTGGCATATTCAAGGACAGAAATTTGGGATGAGTTGCAGAAAAGTTTGTGGTATTTCTCTCCCCAGGAAAGAGGGCACAGGTTTAGACTGTCTTAGTTGTTGAAGGCGCAGCATTCAGTCCTTGAAAAGTCTATTTATCCTAAATGTATTAACGCTTTCCTATCACAGAGGGCATTTAATACCTGGCACTGCTGGATTAGCTATGAAAATTTACTGGTAATTTATACTACTGTTTAGACAAAGACTAGGTCTTAACGTAACTAAATTTAAGAAATTTATATATTTTAGAGTAAGGGTTAGCAATCTAAAGGCCATTTAGTGCATCGGGCTCATTGAACAGATGGGTATAAATGACCTAGGACATAGTAATAGCATAAATCAGTAACTTTTGTTTAGGGCTGGCTCTTGTGGCTGGCTCCATAAGGCAGCTCTCATCAAGCAGCGCCTAACCTACAAACGCTATATGGGCCGTGCCCATGGGCTCGCTCCAGAATTTCATGAAAAAGGATGATCTATTTGATTATCACGAAGGAACAGTAAAGCTTAGTTGTCTAATAAATATGATAACTAGGACCCAGAGAGCTGAAATGATGATCCCAAGGGTGCAATGTGAGTTATTGTCAGTGCTGTACAGTACCTTGACTCTAGCTCTCTAGTGCTCACCCAAGAGGCTGAAGAACGTGTCTCTCCTTTGCTAAAATCTACACTGTATGACTTGTTTTTTACCCAGGTGTTGAAAGGAAAGGTCATAACCAGAGAAAGTACTACCCTGATATAGAGCTGGGGCAAAAGGCTTGTCCCATAGCATATCTACTCCCCATGGTTTGCAGGTCAAATTAAGCATAAATGTCCACTGAACCCAATTTTATAGGAGAACATATTTCTTCCACTTTGTGCTCCAGATATTTGCTTCCTTTTTGCACTGTCATTCTGTCATCCCCATCGCTCCTCTTGGAGAGTTGGCCTTGTTCAAGTAGTCACAGAGGGAAGATATCCATCTCCAAAGAGTAAGTAGCAAAGAATGAGTCCTAGTTCTGTTTTCTAGGAACGATGCAGTCAGTCAACAAGAATGAGAGCAAACAAGTAATGGTGTTGTAAAGCCACTACTGGTGGGACATCCAGTTCAACTTCTCTCCTAATTCACTGGTGGCCCAGTGCCACAGACGTTAAACTCGCACGTTCCACTTTGGCAGCCTGGGGTTCGCAGGTCTGGATCCCGGGTGTGGACCTATACACCGCTTGTCAAGCCATGCTGTGGCAGGCATCTCACATATAAAGTAGAGGAAGATGGGCATGGATGTTAGCTCAAGGCCAGTCTTCCTTAGCAAAAAAGAGGAGGATGGGGGCTGGCCCTGTGGCCGAGTGGTTAAGTTCACGCGCTCCGCTGCAGGCGGCCCAGTGTTTCGTTGGTTCGAATCCTGGGCGTGGACATGGCACTGCTCATCAAACCACGCTGAGGCAGTGTCCCACATGCCACAACTAGAAGGACCCACAACAAAGAATATACAACTATGTACTGGGGGGCTTTGGGGAGAAAAAGAAAAAAATAAAATCTTTAAAAAAAAATAAAAATAAAACAATAAAAAATAATAAAAAAGAGGAGGATAGGCAGCAGATGTTAGCTGAGGGCTAATCTTCCTCAAAAAAAAAAAAAAAGAAAGAATCCCTTTTACAGTGTTCCTGTCAACCACAGCGCGACCATTTCCAGGGCCGGGGAGCTAATTCCATTTTTGAGATACTAGCTTCTTTAGTGAATAAAGATTTCCAGTGTTCAGGTTGTTCTTAATAGAAAAGATAGAAGAAATACAGAAGTTGAGTAGTTCTGTTTTTTTTTAATTACCTCTTAACCAAATAGTGCCCCAGTTCTACACTGCTCATTTAATGACCTGAATAGAATTTAAATCACCCTTTTTGTTGTCTTTACATGTTTCCCAAAGTGTCCATTTTTTCCAGAAATACTTTTAGGACACTAACATTATAGGTTCATTCTACAGTATTTTTTGAGGGAAAATTCTCCTCCTCTCAAGGCTTTTTAACCATCCTACTTATTAGACCTTTTTACTACCTGAATTCACTAGTTTTGAATATTTTTCCTCCTTCTTCTTCAGTGCAACGATCAAAGATTGTCATTAGAGTTTCATTTTCGAACCATGTACCAGCTGACTAAGGACTCAGCTACGTCTGCTGGGATTTTGTAAATCGGTTTTTCTGAAGTCTAGGTATACATTTGCTTAGATCACCTTTCCTATTATGAAAAAAGCACCAAAGTTCTGGTCACTTCCACATCATATAATTTTTTCTAATTTAGTCCTCTTAGTTCTGGCATTAAATGAATACTGGACAAAGTGACAGCTCACAAACTTTGATCTTTGTTTTTCTATTTGCTTCCTTGGAGGTATTTTTATTCGTATATGCTAAAGACCCACTGCTTTTTAATAATTAATATTGGGATGGGAGATATGTCCTTAACTGGCAAGATATTATTATACCATTAAGTGACTTGGTTGCTCTATCCATTAACCAAAATTATAGTGGTGTAAGTGAGCATGAAGATTATTTTGAAAGTGGTTCAGTGAAGTTCATTTAAATTCATAGAAACCTGTGTTTACTTATCCAGTCATTTCCATTTAACTCCGTGTTGCATGCAGATACCTGAAAGGGATAAAAAGCGTGTGAAAATGTGGATGGCAAATGGATTTAAATTTCTAAAACATTTAGGTTGCCTTTCTTGAAGTTGTACGAAAGACAGCCTTCTACTCTAAAATCAGGGTTCTTTAAACCAGAAGGCAGCAAGAAAGCTTACTCGAAACTTGTTTCGGTGGACAGTCTTACGTCACCTGAAAGAATTACTGCTGTCGGCTGTTTCCATTGCTGTAAATTAGGAAGTTTTATGCCTTAAATATAAGAATAGCACCTTACAGACATTTATTTTCATTCTAAGTGCAAAAATCTCTGCAAAGAGCCAGCCCCGATGGCCTCGTGGTTAAAGTTCAGTGCTCTCACCACTTCGGTGGCCTGGGTTCACTTCCCAGTCATGGAACCATACCACTCATCTGTCAGGTGCCATGCTGTGGCAGCAGCCCACATAAAAGAACTAGAAAAACTTACAGCTCAGATATACAAACATGCACTGAGGTTTTGGGGAGGAGCAAAAAAGAAAGATCTGCAACAGATGTTAGCTCAGGGCGAATCTTTCCCTGGGGTGGAAAAAAAAGTCTCTGCAAGGAAGCCACGATTGAAGAGAAGAGATTAATGCATACGGAACAAGAAAAAAATCTACAAAAGAATTTTTAGAAAAAGTACATCAATTCATCATAGAAATCATTCGGTCAAGTTAATTCTAGAAGCAGTTTATCAGCTGAAATTGACCTAGAATTCACTTAAAATAGATACTATGCCTGAACCAAACCCATTAATAAATGACAGCGTTTAAGTACCCAAGAGCACGTGAAAGAGAAAAGGCAGGGAATTGTAGGCCAAGGACTTGGATTCGTTTTTTTGCCTAACCATTCTCTAGCACAGACGTTCTCAAACTGTGTTCTCAGGACCTGCAAATCAGCATCACATGTATTGTTAGAAATGCAAATTCCCCAGCTTCACCCCAGACAGCTGAGGCTCTGGGGATGGGGTCCAGCATTCTGTGTTTTAGAAAGCCCCTCAGCTGATTCTTTTGTACACTAAAGTTTGAGAATCATTTCTCTAGCACATAATAATGACTATTTTATCAAATTATACCCTGGATCAACCAATAAATGTATCAGTGCCCTAGAAATTGTAAGGCATTGGTAAATTGTGAGTAATTATATTAGTGCCTGGTTTAATCAACTCTAGAGTGAAAAGTAAACCCAAAGCAAGAATGAGTTTACCTGATAATATGAGAATGAAAAAATGGAAAACATTCTATTCCTGCCTTTCTCTTTCTCTTTGTTTTAAGTCATCTTGCCCAACTTCATTCTGCAGGATTTCTGCTGAGAGTTTGGGCAAGTATTGATGGAAGCAAACTTTTTTGTTTATTTAACAATTGTGAAAATATTTGTGAGCCAGCTGAGGCTCTTGCTGCTGTTCTGTTTCAGTGCACTGTGAGGCCAGTGAATGGAGTCCTTGGAGTCCATGCACGAAGAAAGGAAAAACATGTGGCTTCAAAAGAGGGACTGAAACACGGGTCCGAGAAATCATACAGCATCCTTCAGCAAAGGGTAACCTGTGTCCCCCCACCAGTGAGACAAGAAAGTGTACAGTGCAAAGAAAGAAGTGTCAGAAGGGAGAACGAGGTACAGTCATACTAACAAACTGTGCTTGTTTGAATCCTCAGAATTTGATGCAAATTTCACTTCATTTCTTAGGAAATATTTAGTATTATCACTTGTGTCTAGAACCCTGAAATATGTACCAAACCAAGAATATGTCGGCTGTAAATTACAGAATATTGATGTAATAGTTTTAAAAAAGGGAGCCTGATATCAGAAGCTTAAACTACTCTAGAAGTGTGCTAATTGAATCTTGGCAAAGGAGGCTGCATTGGATGCATTTGGGCCTCTACCTTTCTTTTAGGCCATTATCTTTCCTATCATCCGCCTTCCTAGTGCCTGGAGAACTTTTGGGAAGCCTCATAAACGCAAGGTCTAATACCATTTAGTATGAGACCATGGTGAACACCAGCCATGAGCTTATTCCTTTCTTCACTGCCTATGAACCCAAGTAGTGCGATTAGGTTTAAGTTTTTGTCACTAAACTTGTTTTAAAGGTTACACAGGATTTTTAGAATATTTAAATGGTAGATGTTTTTAATACTGACTTTATAGTTAAAGTAAATGACCAAGGCCATATTTCATAAATATAATACACGAATTAATGACATTTAATCCCCAGATTTTTTTCATATTACGCTAACTTTACATATCAGATTACATAATCCATAGATAGATATTCAATAACTGTGTCAGAGCTTGTTCGGAAGTCTTACGATTGCGAAGGAGAAGTATATCATTTAATGTGATGTTTTAAGGTGATTAAACTTCCATTTAGAAGAGAATTTTTCCACCCTTCTCACTAATGTCCTCAGCGTCACTGCCTATAAATACGTTATTTAGCTTTATATAACTATTGGTAGTTATCTGGCAAGCCTATAAATGATCCTTTCAATTAATTGCATCTTGTAAGAAGTTTAGCTGCGCCTGTAGTTGAACTTCCTGTGTTTATTTCATTCATTCATTCAATCAATATTATTTCATTGACTTTTCACTTTATGGCCACGCATAAGGCTAAGCCCTGGGGTTCACAACAGAATACAGTACTGTCTCTATCTGAAGGTGCACTCAGAGTCCAATGGAGGGTTGAGATGTTTAAACAGATAATCACCATATCATAAAGTAAGAGAGATTATAGGCGTGTGAACAAATGTCAGTGGGGACGCAGAGGAGGGTGCCTTGCAAACTCCAACAGTGCTCACACAAGAAAGAATTTAAGTCACCTGTGCTTTGCCGACACCAAATGACTGGCCATCATCAGAACGTATGCAGCCTGTTGTTGCCGTTAGTAACCAAGTAGTTAATGTGATAAAATTCCCGAAGACATGGATTATTTTAAAGGGAACTTTAAGCTTTTGTAAATTTGTAAGAGCTTTTGATTAAAATTAGGCTTAAGGAATGAAAGTTGGCTAGTGAAAAAGGTCTTTCTGGCATTGGTTACCAATTAATTTAAAACATCTTACAATTTAAAAGCTGGATTTGGAAATCAAATATTTCATCACTCTACTTGTTGGTAAGCTCCCATAGCCGTACATTTACTTATGTTTACTAACTTTTCTTGAAATTTAATGACTTACAGGTGCTCTTTGCTCATATTAGTCTTTGCACAAAGACTCTACATTACTAATCAGTATTCAGTGAACTTGGCTTTTAAAATATAAGTGAAGAAAATCTTATCCAATAGAAAAATTAAATTATGATGCTAATTACATTTTATTTCCTCTATTAGAGAATGTGTTCTTTTAATATATTTTGCTATCACATGACTTAAACATTAACATTGAAAATGTCAGTTTTTAAAACTAGCAATGGATAAGTAAAGGATGCCACAAGAAGTTTGAAATAGGAACCTGTGACAAAAGCTTGGCTTAAAAGTTTCTTTCTGGCCTTTTTTCCTCCCCTCTGAGAAGGGTACAGTGTCAATTTATATTTACAAAGAGAACTTTATACAACCTTAAAAATGTAGGTGAATTATTCTTTTTCAAATTTCATAATGCATAGACTACCAAGTAGGAAATGTGGATCACATTTATAATTAAATTCCACATTCAGTTCCATTTTATTTAATCTTCATTCATCTTTCTATATGTCTGTCAAAAAATTTTTTCAAGTAGCCCAGAAATTTAAGATAGGAAGGAAACGACTTCTCTGTCCATTCCTTACTTCTCTAACCTAACAGTTTTCTTAACTTCTTTTAATGGTAACTTCTCAAATATCCTATCCGAACATTAAGAAACCAAATAGAAAAGTATTTATGACCTCTGGACAGGCCACTATATATCAAATATCAAATCAAAATAGTTACATTACCCAGAGTCCTCTCATTTAGGTTCTGAAATATATATATCTTAGAGATATATATATACAATAAAGTGATAAAGATAAACACCATAAAGTTATGAAGACATGATTTCTCCTGCCACCAGAATAGCTATTACTTGATTTGCTCCTAAATGCTTGTAGATTCATAAGATAAGATCTTTTAGGTTCGTGGCTTGAGAATGTTTAGATGAGTAAGCTAAAAGATAAGGTCTTTTTAAAAATAAAATTTAGCCTGGAAATCTTGAATTCACACTTACATCTATCATCCCTGCTTAAGAGTTAACAATAGACAGAGGTAGATAACTCATATTTGGAAAAGGTATGGAGCATGTGTTCAGGATTTTTTCTGCTGTGTTGTAATTGCCAAAGGCAAGGTCTCTGGGGAAGAATGATAAGATCCAGAAATGACTCTCCAAAATGTACACAAAGAAGAGGCTGAATAGAAGGAAATAGTTTTTAGTAACAGAATGGATTATTCTACTTGTGAGATGCTTTTTCATGGATATATGTTGGAAAAATTGGTTGCAAAATCTTACATACACATGTTTTTCTTTACTAACATTCTTCTCTTGCTTAGAATAGTTAGAGTAAATGAATCTGGGAAGAAAAATGTAATTTCTCTAGCCCCAAATCTGAGTTTTTGTCTGATATACTATTTGTTTGCACCATTTAAGATTATTTCCCTTTACCTGACATGCTACCTTTTAATCAATCTTAACTTCTTCATCAATCACTAGCTTTAATAAGAAGTTATTACTATTGCAATACTTTCTAGCTTGAGCCTACCTAAATTAAATTATATATCTGAAATGTCAAAGATATATGACATATATTTTAAGAGATTATAAAGACTAACTTATAGGCTAGTATTACATATGCATTAAAATAATATATTGAAATAGAAGTAAACAAGGAAAAAATGCACTTTCCGTGATTCTCAACTTATATTTATTGACTCTTTTGATATACTGGGTGTAACCATCTTAGAAAAGAGGAAGTGAAACAGGACAGGTAAATATATACATGTGCCTGCATTTGATGCGCAATGGTGATTTTTGTGGAGGGGGCTGGGAAGGGGGGCAGGCAGAGGAAGGAGGATCGCCAAACATATTTTCATTCATTTGTACATTTCTTTAATTAACTGAAGACAATTTCCTAGAGATATTCAATTTTAAAGCAATTCACAAGGAATGAAAGAAATTTTCTTTGACCAATTGCATAAAGAACATACTAATTCATTACATGTAGTGTGTGATCTTGGGATAGAAAAGAGAGAGAAGGGCAGAGTCATTGAAGAAATGGGGCAGGCTCTACGTTTTTGGTGTAAAGAAGAAATAGCATCTCCTCTAGCAGAGAGAGAGAAAAGGAATCTATAAAAATATAAATAAATAAAAAGTTCAGAGACATTTCCAAGGAAGAAACACGTGTGGGAATTATTGCATTATTGGAATATATCATAGGTCGCCTTATGTGCCTTCCCAAAATTAGAAGTCATAAACGTCTACTAGTTTTTACATAAAGGAAAAGTGTTACATGTTAACTTATAAATTGCTATCAATCATGCCTTAAATGCTTTCAGTATTATAAATATGCATTGTATGTATCATAAGCACAATATTTAAAATTACAGCAAAATCAGTGTTAAAAAATCAAGCAAATAAAAAACGATGTCTGTTTTTTTCCCTAGGTTTGCTTCTCTTTTAGTTTACTTCTTACAATCTTTATAACAACTATTCCAGTGATGAATAGTTAAGTTTTTTACAGGAGGGATTTATATTAAGTATTCACTCAAATTCAAAACAAGACATCTAGCCAAGATTTCCAGAACAGTTCTCAAAATCCAAAGAGATGGATTCATTAGCTCAAAATTGTAGGATGCCAACTGGCTTAGAGTAGTTAGCTGATGTCCTCTCCCCACCTTCACCTCATGGAGGAAGACCAGCTGGCCTACAGACACTCATCCTGTTTAAGCACTGGAGGATGGGAGCTTTCTGCTCTTTCTCTACACCCAGTCAGTAGGCTAGCCCTTTGACAGAGGTCAGAGAAAATTAACGTAGTACAGAGCTGAGATAATAATGGCATGAGAGACTGTGGTTCTCAATCAAGCATGATTTTGCTCCCCAGGGAACATTTCTGATTGTCACAATGTGGGGGAGGAGAATGCTACAGCCATCTAGTGGGTAGAGGCCAGGGATGCTGCTAAATATCCCTACAATGCACAGGTCAGCTCCACAGAACACAAATTATCTGCCAGTAGTGTCAAGGATGAGAAAACCTGGTATAAAGGCAACAATCTCTCTTTGTTATCCCTTCTTGGGGACTAGTCAATCCCTAGCCAACAGGTTGTTTGTTCTGGGAAGGACCAATTGCCATTAATGAAAACCTGCACATGGTGCAAAGCTTCAATAACAAGAATAAGATGGTGGAACAGAGGGGAAATTTTTGCTCCCTGATCAATATAAAGGTAGTAATCCATTTTTATAAAAATTAATAATTTTTCAATTTAAAATATTTCAGTACCACACAAAAATATTCAACCATGTCTAAAACCTCTGAAAAAGCTGGTCCACTGCAGTAATAACACTTTTCACTCTCAGAGAGATATTCCTTAGTATAAATGTATGTACTTCTGCTTAAAGGCTAAGCCCAATTTTTCATCTAATGTCCTCAATGGAGAAGCTGGCCAGTTGTTTAATCACTAT